TGTTTTCCTCTCAAACCCAACTGCTTTAGCACATTGTAACCGAAAGTGGAGATAAAAACCTCTTTCGCCTACTTCGATGTCAAAGATGTCCAATGTGTACGCTTCGTCTCTCCTCAGACTGGCCAGAGCTCACCGTACTTTTCGAGCTTGTACAGATGATTTTCTTCCATCTGCGACTCGTACAGCGCGGTCAGCTCCATCAGGACGAGCTGGCGTTTTTCACTAGAGTGCAGAATTATATCTTGTCATAGGCCAGACTTCCGGACTGACTCTGGGTGCCTTTCGAAACCAGGCAGGTCGACAACCAGTACTTAGTCCCTCGCACAGTCAAGTATTGGACCTCGTTGACTTCACATTTAGAAATCTGCCCAGTCTTGAGGAAGCGCATGTGGGCGACGATAGGTCTGCCGCTCGCGTTGGCACCTATCCTGGCTTGGTCCACAAAGTCCGTTAGCTCTTTCGGGACTTTGTTGTGCCGCCAAGTATATCGTCCCTGGCCTAGGGCTTTTCTGCACGAGGACACTGCGTGCTCGAGTATCTGTTTAACTCTGCATACAGGACATGTCGGGTCGGTGGCCATAAGCAGATTTTATGAAAAAGTTCAGCTGCAGCTGGGCCCTTCGCCAAATCTCATCATATATAGTGTTCGTGGTAGGTGCTCTCGAGGCCGACCCACTTACGTTGCTGCTACTGTTGTGCAGCTTTTTGAACTGGAGTCTATTCCCCCCCCCCCCGCTGTATCATCATGTTTCTGCGTTCTATGGCCGAGGATTTGTATGTATATATATATGTGTGTGTGTGTGTGTATGTGTGTGTGTATATATATATATATAAATATATAACACAAACGAACATACACAAACATAAAACAAAAATGCGGGTTATACATATATGCACACATACATACACACACACACACACACACACACACACACACACACACACACACACACACACGCACGCACGCACGCACGCACGCACGCACGCACGCACGCACGCACGCACGCACGCACGCACGCACGCACGCACGCACGCACGCACGCACGCACGCACACACACACACACACACACACACACACACACACACACACACAGACAGACAGACAGACAGGACAGACAGACAGAGAGACAGACAGACAGACAGACAGACAGACAGACAGACAGACAGACAGACAGACAGACAGACAGACAGACAGACAGACAGACAGACAGACAGACAGACAGACAGACAGACAGACAGACAGACAGACAGACAGACAGACAGACAGACATATTCCTATTTGATCAAGGTTATATTCTAAATCTGTTAAATATCAACTCTGTTGTAGAATGCCAGATACCATTGTTCAAGCGTGACACTACATACGGAGAACATTCTCACTGTTGGTACGAAATTCAAGACTGCGTTTCGCACTTACGAAGATATCTATATCTCAACACTCGAAGCGATGACTTTCGCGGTGCCATTTCTCACATTGGCGAGATGTGTCAGTAAGTAGTGGGGTGTCTTTTCTACACATGTCATTCTGAATTAAAGTTTGAACAACGGGTCAACATCATGTCACGCGGGTTGTAACCCACAAGTGCTCTGCTCTTCCTTTAACTCAAGTCTGAGTCAGAAAAAGTTCAGCACATTGCACAAGCTCTGTAGCACAGGCGAAGATCCTGAAATACTTTTTCTTTCTGAATATACTTTACCGTTGCACTGGAGATAACCACAAGCATACATATCCCTTTCCCCCCCCCCCCACCTCCTTTTCCTCCTTTTTCCCCCTTGTTTAATTACAGTGAAAGCCAGAGAATTGAATGGTTTGGCCATCTATTAAAAATGTGACCACACAAAACTAAATATAAGCAGGTTTGGATGAGGGTCGTTTGATACTCAATGCCCTTACAAGATTTTTGTGCTCCTCTTAACAGCATTATGAGTCACTTCTCAAACCAGGTTGCTGGGACGGCTGCGACAAAACCACTCCCGGAAATGAAAGGAGAAGGTCACTTGAATTACACAGAAACGCACGAGGCTCCCAAGCAAGCACCCTTGTGCCCGCAAGATGGCATTAGTGTTCCCATGTATGTGTAATTAAAAATATTAACACTAATAAACGATAAAATAAAATTATTTTTATCGAAATAAAAACAACACTTACGGTGAGATGGAAAATAGAAGCTAAAAAAAAAAAAAAAAATAAGAAAGAAAGAAATACTTCCAAACTATTTATATATTAACAATTGTCCTCTTTTTTTCTTTTTATGCTACGAAGTCTTTGGCCACTTTTCAGAGAATCGTATGCAACACACCCACTTCAATAATTAATAGAGATAAGCCATTCGGTCTGCATTGCTGCACTGTTGTTATGATGAACCATTTCATTCTTTGTCTGTCAATATAATCCAGACAAAAAGGGTGCTAAAATGCTATATAGAACCTGTTCTGCTGTATGGCAGCGAATCTTGGAATGTCAGTGAACAAATTGGGAAGAATTTGAAAGCTACATAGATGTGGTTCCTGAAACGAAAGTTAAGAATACCTTGGACAGACAGAGTAACTAACAACGATTGCTTGAAATAGGCTAATGAAAGTAGATCTCTATTTACAACAATAAGAAAGAGACAAACACTTTGGCCACATAATGAGAAGAGAGACATTGGAGAACATCGTGACAACTGGAAAGATCAGTGGAAAAAAGTGTAGAGGCATACCAAGAGAGATGATGCTGTATGAGCTGAAACGATGGCATGGAGTGATTTCATCAAGAGAGCTGTTCCAGTCAACCAGGGATCGTTATCTGTGGAGACGCATGAGCGCCTAATCCAGTTGCCAGGGCACTTGATGATGATGATAATCCAGACACCGTCTTATTCCAACTTTCTCTCTAATGCTGGTATCGTAACCGTGTCTCGTCCGGTGTTGTTAGTGACCTTGCGGAGACAGCACATTTCACATGTAGTTATTTTCTGTTCTAGTGCACTATTCATTGTCCATGTTTGGCACTTATAACATAAAGTAGGGGTACAGATGCTATTAATCATTTTGTGCTTTCATGGATGGGAAACTTTTGAGAGTCTAAGTGCTTCACTGAACTGAACTCCATGATATCAAACTTATTGCACAGGATAGTAGGGAATAGACTGTGAGCTCTGTGTACAATACAGCAATGATAATGCTCCTGTAAACAAAGCTTATAAACTTAGGAAGTAGGATACTAAAAACCCTCGGAAAAGATGGAGTGATGGCATTAAGAACAGCCTTACAGAAATGAACATCAGTCTTAATAGTGCTCTTGACAGAGCTCATTAACGAGGGTTATATCTCCCCCGATACTTCGATGAGGTACAAGGTGGAAGAAAAGAAGAAGATAATAATAACTTTATATATACATTTGTATAAACATTTATATTTACATTTGTAGGCTCTATTCAGTGATTCCGGACTGTTTACGTCAAATCCTGGACAAGGGTGAGTGTGAGCCGTGGAGAGACAACATAGAAGCCGGACAATCTGTTGGCGATTTCGGATGTAGTGATCGAGGGCAGTCGAGTAAGTAAGACACTGGACACTAACTGTTATCAGAATATGTTGAATAATACTTTAATATACTGTTTAATAATTTATTGTCCTATTGTTCCATTATATATCACAACGGGCTCTCAGTCAATTCTTCTGTCTCGTTCTATCCTATGCGATCTGTTCAAAATCATGGATGGAATCTAGTCCAACAGCTTCGGCCTCTCTCATCAACGTTCATCTTAGGGTTTCATCTGGACGTCCTCCAATCCTTAATCCCTGTATTTCCTATTTTAATGCCTGTTTAATCAAGATACAGGGCAAGACCGAGAAGACAATGGATTGAAGGAGCCACTGACATCTTGAGACTGCATACCATCAAGGCATGTCAAGCGACTGAGCGCGCTCTTTCTCGACTGCCAATCGTTTGATGCACTGCGACGCCTAGAGGCATAAGCAGATATAGATACATGGAGAAAGAACAGTGCCTGCTTGGTGACTGCTTTACCCCCCCCCCCCCTCTCAGGATGAATCCAATATAGCACTATCTTGTCTATCGTAACTGTTGATACTAGTGGTTGCCCACAGATGTATCTTATTTCTTCACTCATTTTGAAGTCATCCATTTTATTTTCATCATTTGCCTCAGACATTTGTTTTCGAATGCATTTAACTTTTTTTTTTTTTTTTTTTTGAGTGGTTCGCCAACTTTCACTTTCACAAATTTAGGTTAAATTATAAGTGAAAATATGTAACTTGGTTCTTCATGTCTTCTAGAACCTGGGTGGAGACAGTGGTCATTGTTTAAATATGTGTTATGGGGAGAGGGAAAGAACGAACGAACAAACAAACTTTATTTTTAAAGGGTTACAAATTGGGCACGCAGGCTTGTCTGACATTCGGCCCTTCTAAGCGCTCATTTTTCAGAGAACCAATGCCTGTTAGCAATAATGCATGTTATGGATATAATAAAGAAATTTACATTATGCATACATGCATCATGTGTACACAATCTTACACCCTCACACACCCGTATATATACTCTTACATTCTCATACATGCACACTCATATACTGACATACCTAATACATACATACATGCATCTACATACCTACACAAACAGAAAAGACACACACTTACATATATGGACACAAATGCACACACATTCCATACATACACACCTACACATGCAAGTTGGAACTGGAACAAGATGTGAACACTTGAAAGTTGCGCTCATAATAGGGGAAAAAACAGAGGAAGGCAATGCGAGAAGATTCTTGATAGCCGTTTGCCATGAACTGATATATATATATATATATATAATTAAAGATCCAAGTATAGTGAGAGGCATAATCACAAACGCCATTCGGCACAGCTTTTAGTGATTATGATGATGAGTATGTTGAGGAGGAGTAGGATGATGATGTGAGGAAGAACGATTCATTCTTGTATTAATATGTATTACTTCTACCTTTGTTTTTTGCGCTCATAGTGTTCAGAGACGTACAACAAAATGCGAAGTGTCTCGATGATCACAGACTGTTTGATACCATTGCAGAATCTGCTAAGGACTGCATACTCGACTCTAAGCCTTCTTCAGGCAAACACTACAGTGAGTGTCGGTAAGTGATCACTCTAGTAACTTCATTGGTAGTGCATTGGTTAGAATCGGTAGCTTACCCTCTAGAGGGTCTTAGCTTTTGAATTGGCATACAGATGTATTTTTGCTCACAAAAACAGGTATAGATAATCTATTTCAAGCGAACGAAAGAAAGAAAGAAAGAAGAAGAAGAAGAAAAAGAAGAAGAAGAAGAAGAAGAAGAAGAAGAAGAAGAAGAAGAAGAAGAAGAAGAAGAAGAAGAAGAAGAAGAAGAAGAAGAAGAAGAAAAAGAAGAAGAAGAAGAAGAAGAAAGAAAACGAAGAAGAAGAAGAAGAAGAAGAAGAAGGAGAAGAAGAAGAAGAAGAAGAAGAAGAAGAAGAAGAAGAAGAAGAAGAAGAAGAAGAAGAAGAAGAAGAAGAAGAAGAAGAAGAAGAAGAAGAAGAAGAACAAGAACAAGAACAAGAACAAGAACAAGAATACAGTAAAACCTCCTTAAAGGGAGCGACCATGACATATCGGATAAAAGCTTGTCTACATATCCGAAGGTCGTGGGTTCATTTCTAGACGGAGCTAGACTTTTTGAGAACTGACCTTGGCTCGCCAGCCTTAAATGGGTACTAGGCAAAGTCCTAGGAAGTTACAGAGGCCGGTGTAGTGTTGACCACATCTCCCACCGAGTTCGTATTGGTCTATAGAATGTAACTCTAGCCCTATATGCCCAATACGTCTTAAGGCGTGGAAAAGGGTCATTTGTTTAAAACCTCGTCAACACTAACTTGCTTGAGAAAAACACCCGAATAAAATAAAAGTTCTCATCAGGTTTATATTTTAGTTAATAGACATTGCTATCAAAAACACAAACATGGTTTCCGGTCATTTGGAATTTGTTAACGAGTGTTTTCTGTAATGGAGAAATGACTCCCAACTCAGCCTAGTCAAAGATTCCTTTCAGTATATACCAACAGTGATGAGCACATCACGTATCATGTACCGAATGGTCTGTACGTTCTGAGTCTACCAATGCATGTCTGATCATCAAATGGCGTGGATAATATTTCTTTAGTTCTGGGGTTTTTTTTTTTTTTTTTTGGGAGGGGGGAGGGTTATTTCTTAAATTGCACTGATAGAGAAGACTACACTACCCCATGCGATCCTAAACCCTCTAAACCCTTAGACTCAAAATTCCTAGTCCGCCAGGCACTTGATGACGGTGATATTTGATGACGATGAAGGAGAAAAAAAGAGAAGTGGAATGGGGCGCAGAATTAAGTGTGCTGAGAAACGAAGGAAAAAGGTATGTTGTCATATAGTGCACTTAGATATGTCACCTAGATATCATATAATATCTTTGACAAAGAAGAGGAGAAATAATGACATCTTGAAAGATAGATCTGAACATCAAAGAAGATTGGCTAATAAACAGCATCCTGTCTCGGAAGCTGAAATATTTTGGTAATATCAAGCGCCACGACGGACTGGAAAACATTATAGCAGAAGGCATGGTACCAGGAAGGACGGGCAGGGGCCGACCAACACGAAAATGGGCACAGGATATAAGTGACTCATTGAGTATGAAAGTACCTGAGACTGGAGAGCTGGCGAGAGACCTAGTTTTTTTCAGGCAGACAGGGATGAGAGCGGCGTTCTACAAAGGACATGTTACATTATGGATAGAGATATCACGTAAATTATAATGTTAGAAATGAGGATTCTGTCCTTTACCCCAAAGATTTGGCCCTGGAACCTCTACAAGGGGAAGGAGCGAAGTGATTTTCTAAACATCGTTTTGGTTTCAATAATTCACAGAGAAGCAAGAATCGCGCAGTGGTGCACTGTGAGGTCGTACTTTGCACACTGTGGTCAAGCGGCTGGCGAACTCGCCTTTGAAATCTCTGAAAGGATTCTCAACTCTTCGCCTCGATATCAATGCCCTAGTACCGACCCACGTAAGTAAATGGAGCCAATCTGGTCTTCTTCTTCTCATCCTTCTTCTTTATCTTCTTCTGCTTTTCCTTCTTCTTCTTCTTTTTTCTTTTTATTGCTTCTTCTTTTTCTTCCTATTTTCTTTTTCTTCTTTTAACTCTTCTTCTTCTTCTTTTTCTTCTTCTTCTTCTTCTTTTTGTTATTATAATTCTGTCTTTCTTTTTCTTCTTTTTCGTCGTCTTCTTCTTCTTCTTCTTCTTCTTCTTCTTCTTCTTCTTCTTCTTCTTCTTCTTCTTCTTCTTCTTCTTCTTCTTCTTCTTCTTCTTCTTCTTCTTCTTCTTCTTCTTTTTCTTCTTCTTCTTCTTCTTCTTCTTCTTCTTCTTCTTCTTCTTCTTCTTCTTCTTCTTCTTCTTCTTCTTTACAAATGTCCATGAATCAGGAGCGCTAAAGAAAAAAAAACCGTGTTAACATTTTTACACCCTGAGACTTTTCTATCAGCCGCTTTTGCCGTTAAGATCCGTCAGGTTTTTCTTTCTCTACTTTATTCACTGCACAGTAATAACATATTTATAAACGTTCTAAAACATCTGGCAAAGTCAAATTTAAAAGAAGACATTTTTGTATTCCACAGACAACGACCTGAAACGTGGGTTTGACCTTTTAGGGAAGAGGTTTGTGTGACAGTGTGTAAAACCATAATGGCAGCGTTTGATATCTTTTCTAAGGAGACCACTGTTTATATAATGTGTTTTTCTGTTTCCTCCTCTTTATTCTTTTAGTCACAAACCAGCGAAACCTTTCATAATAAATATTTAATTATTATTTAGACATTGTTTAGGGGGTGGGAACCGCATGAAATACTGACTATACTGTAACCCTTCTAAAATATTTTGTGTGTGTATGTGTGCTAATAATTCAAATAAACCTAGAGAAAACAATACTGTTGTCAATATTTTTTTCTCTTTTCCTTTTTAAATTTGTGTTTAGTCGTTTACTTATTATCTTATCTAAACGGCAGGTTACACCTGGCTCGTGTAGCCCTTGCCGTTACCCCGTTGTAACTTCTTTGAAGGTTAAACAAGCCATCAGGGATTTGCTTATTTACCACTTCTACCGTGGGATGTAAAGGGTTTTGCTAGAGAGATCGCAGCTTCTCTATCGGCAGTTTTCGCCATTGAGATCCGTCTGGTTTTCTTAATGTGATAACATATAATCATAGTTTTAGGCAAGCAGGTGATTAGCCTATTGTTGCCAATGTATGGTGCAGTGGCTGCCTCCTTGCGGTATCCATGCTGGCCGTCTGGCTGATTCACCGTTACCCACTACTTCCGAAGACGCATGAAGCTCTCAGGTTCAGCCAGACCCTTCTTCTTTTTAAACCGGGCTTGGGGCCGGTCTTAGCAGAATTTCTGGGACTTGTTTCTTGTCTTATCCATTTAGAATAAGATTTATAATCTCAGGGTTTCTAACTTTTATGTAGCAGTCCAGAGGGGATAGAACGTTGGCATAAAATTAGTGAACAATTCAGGGTGGTCAAACCTATAGGTAGCAGCAGCGAGTAGACAAAGTAACTAAAGGGGAGACCTATGCATTCTACAATGCAATATAATATAATAAGAACTCCATAGCGGGAGCACGCATTGCAGAAGTACTACCGTTCATTAGTAGGTGAGTCCCCTTTCAACAATTATTTCGGCCCATTATCCTCCTATAAAATCTCGAGAGGTAGAGAGACCTGTATTATAACTCCAGGCCTCGGACTTCTGCTCCGCTTATCGGACATTCGGCCACGACGTAATAATGGTTTTTCAACAGATGCTGGGGTTAGGGTGTAATATAAAGTCGCTGCGGTAGCAAATTAAGCGCCCAACCTTTACGACCAGAGTGACAAGTGGACGGTTGATTCCTCGGACAGACTTTGGCAGTTGTCAGTAGCACAGGCAAACGTTGAACGGATAACTTTGGCCTTATGAATTTAAAAGTTTTGTTTCCCCACTATGGGCTCAGAGAAGTCTATCCCCCGCGCCGTTTTTGTGCCACCACAGCTAGAACGATGCTTTTTACTCACACCCGCTGAAGAGTGCTGACTACACAACAGTTCTTTAGTTGTTATGGGTGCCCCAATTATAACCTCACAGGGAGCTGAAAATTCTATGTTTGTCAACATGGTCAAACGGCATGCGGCTACCGATCCGACATGCCTGCTGTGTAGAGCTAAGCAGACGCTCGAGCACGTTTTGTCCGCGTGCAGAAAACCCCAGGTCAGGGGAGGTATACCTGGCGCCACAACAATGTCCTGATCGAGTTAGCGGCCGTTGTGTACCAAGCTAGAATGAGGGCCAATGCGAGGGCCAGTACTATCGTCGTCCCCGTGCGCTTCCTCAAGGCTGGACAGATTTATAAACTTTTTAACATTCAGCATCGAGAGAAGATCAACGCTCGCTGAACGCCCAAGTAAGCAGCCCGTCTCGTCTAGTCGCCCGATAACGCTCCATTCGTCGCCCGATTCTCGATAACTAGATACTTGACACCGATTCGCTAGATTTTCGGCTGAGTCAGTCTTTACTAGTTATCTTGGTCGGTGCCGCGTTTGGGTTTTAGCAGCCCACTTACATACCACCACCTGAAGCGTTAAGCCTTGAATACTGTTGGGAAAGCACACCTGGAGTCCTTTTCAGGATTCTTAAAAAGGCTTGCCCACCCCTCAGAGACCAAGCTTTCACTAAGCACCTTGTAGGCACCGCCATTGACAAGATCGGGAAAACAAAGAAGCAAGTAAAAACCGCTACTCCAAAGAAGACACAGCCTACCGCAGCAGAAACCTTAGCTACAGACAACCCGAGCCAGCCGGTGGTTACTCGAAGGCCGCTCAGCCCTATACCAGAAGTTCAAACTGCAGAACCCACAAGTGTATCCGATGCCGAGAAGCCACACCAGCCACCAGCAAGCGTTGCTGCCGAGGTTCCGGCCGTCCAGCCAAACAGGAGGACACCGGCACTCACAAGCACGCAGGGTACCAACTCACCAGAGATACTGCAGTGCGCACGGCGCAATAAGGCGTGGCACACCACATCGAACTGTCGAAGCGTCCCTATATGCCGATACTGTTCCGGGAATTACGAATTTGAACAGTGCCCCCTGGCAAAAGTCGACCAGGACTTCAGGCGACCAAACAACAACAGGAGGTGCTCCAACTGCACAGGCGCCTATAGTGCGAGATACCTGGGCCCTATACCAGAAGTGCAAACAACAGGCTGCTCCACCACGACGAGAGAGAAATATTAACAAGGCCGTCTCAGTCGCAAAAGACACTACAGTGGCTCAGGACGTGGCTGAGCTCAAAAACGTCATACAGAAACAGAAAGCAGACAAATAAGAGGCCGCCAATAACAAACTCGAGATGCTGGGACTGATCTTTCAAACACTTGACGAAATCAGGGCCCAGAAGGGAGACAGGCTAGCAGAAACTGCGCAGCAAACCAGGTTGCTGGCAGAAATTAAGGAAGCAAGCCAAAAACTGCAAGGCCTTCTAACCCAGCTTGATTCAACACAGCACCAGCAGCAGCCCACCGGCAGTCCGAACGAGAAGAAGGGTAGACCGAGACTCCCTCCCTACACACATAAATCGGACAAATCAAGGAAAACCCCAGGCCTAATAAAAAGCCGCACGAGAATGATTTTGGACAACAGCACAGCAAATATAGCAGAGTGGTCTTTCTGACTGATGCTATGTCAGTTCTACAAGCAATTGTTAACCCAAAAGACACTCAGTTTGTAGACTTGACGCAACAGCTGATTTACTTAGGCTCTTCAGTAGAACAATCTGTGCTGCAGTGGATTCCAGGTCACTGTGGCTTGGAAGGCAATGAAATAGCGGACAGATTGGCCAGAAGCGGCAGTGACATGGTACAACCAAATAGCGACTTAACCCACCAAGAGATGAAAACACTAATACAATCTAGTATCCAAGAAAGGTGGCTGGATACATACAACAGATTTTCTCCCCAAGACTCACTTCATCGCCTCTCTAGAGAGGGACAGTCTATTATATTCAGACTAAGGACAGGACACAACAGATTTCGTCAACATATGTTCAAATTTTTCGGTGTAGGAAATACGGAGACGTGTCCCTGCAGCGTGGCACCCGAAAATGCTGAGCATGTGCTCCAACACTGTCAACTGTATGCTGACAACAGAGACGCAATCTGGCCTGTTCCAACCACAATGAAGACAAAACTGTATGGTACACGAGAGGATATGGATTGCACGATAGCTTTCATAAAGGCTACCGGCCTCCTGATAGAAGTTTTCTGACAGAAGGATCGAAGAAGAAGCTGTGTGATTTTAATATCTCCGCAAATTCTCTCTCTCTCTCTCTCTCTCTCTCTCTCTCTCTCTCTCTCTCTCTCTCTCTCTCTCTCTCTCTCTCTCTCTCTCTCTCTCCATATCTCAGTTTATAAAAAAATATATATATATATGTGTGTGTGTGTGTGTGTGTTTGTGTGTATGAGTATGTATATATATTAGGGCTGTACCGAATATTCGCTTCGTATTCGCTTCGGGGCTGAATAGTGGACCGAATGACTATTCGGTATTCGGCCGAATAGTTGCGGTCGAGCAATACCTTACACTTATTTCTGCATACACTGCGATGGACTGAAATAACTCTCTCATTAACACCACAGTTGCTGTTGCCTTAGTTTGTAGTAGCGGGGAAAACTGCGACCTGGTTGCGTAGTACAGAAGCTGGCAAGGTCTTGCTTGCTGACTCGACCGAGGCATTACAGCAAAGGTTCTAAAACTGGGTGCGTATGCCAGCCGTGCCAGGGCGAAAATCAAGAAAAGTCGGCTATAAATTGTGACATTATTCATGAAAGATACTTGAGAGACTTTCCTCGTCACTGTCGAAAATAGCACAGGTGACAGGCAATAACGGCATTATATAAAATGAAGAACATCTTATGCAATATATTGAAGGTTAGAAAAAAAATTCTTGCTTGCTACTATTTTTCTCCTATTTTTCCAGTTTCAACATATGGTTGTATTTCCTGGACAATCGGTAGGCAGGCCAAACAATCTCTCTAGGCTTCAGAGATGTAGTTTTACAGAACAATGCTTAAAATACCTTGAATAGCCAAAAAATGCAACCAATAGGTTTTGAAATAGGCGGGAGCCATAAGGCAACTAATCACAGACATTGGTCATCATGTTTCGGCCATGTGATGAGAAGAAGGAAAATGGAACATGTGGGGACCCCTGAAAAGATATGTGGAAGGAGGGATAGAGGAAGACAACGAGAGAAGATTCTTGACAGTCTTTTTGCATGGCATGGAGGTGTGTCAGCGCACGAAATAATACATGCTGCAGCAGATCGCAGATTGTGGTGAGGCATTATCGCCCACGTCAGTCGGCAAGGCACCTGATGATGATGATACACTATTCGTTTTCGTATTCGTATTCGGCCGAATAGTTGGTCCCACTATTCGTATTAGGCCGAATAGTGAAAATCGCTATTCGGTACAGGCCTAATATATATACATATATACACACACATATACATACATATATATATATATATATATATATATATATATAGAGAGAGAGAGAGAGAGAGAGAGAGCAAACAATCAGTTCCACTTCAGTGGCTCATGGAGTATATGATGCTGAAAAAAAAAACCACA